AAAAAGTAATAGTTACATGTAACATAAAACCACAAAGCAAATTTTTAACTAATACAGATGGATGTGTATCAGATCTTGGAATTAGGAAAGACACTCTAAGGATAAAGGCCATAGAAAAACCCATAAAGTAAAAGATGAAAAGGTTTTACAATTTTTTAATGTTAAGTTCCTATTATTGAAAGTTTCTATTACTACCTATTATGTTCATATTTCCTTTTAAGGGAAGATGATCCCCCACAATCCCAGGTGCCCAGGCAGCTGTTTCACACCATGTGATGTGATCAAACTGGACTAGATCTAGCTGGACTGGAAGGAGTCAGGGCCCCAAGCAGGTCAGCATCCTATGATCCACCTTGAGAAGTGGAGCTGGACTAATCAAATCCCCTCGCTCTAAGAAATTTGAACCAAGAAATGAAAAAAAAAATAGCTTTTGGGCAGTAGGGGCTGAAACTGAAAAATCGTTTCAATGCAATTTAAATGCAAATTAAAAACTAGTTTGGAGGCAAGAAAGGCACCAGTGGACCATGGGTGGGAGGAGACACCACCAACTCGGACCAAATAGAAGCCCCTGGTAATAGCAGGAGAGAAGGGAGCAGGCCTATGAAGAGAGCTGGCTGAGCCCTGGCCGGTGTGGCTGGTGGCTGGGCGTTGACCCATAACCAAAAGGTTCATGGTTTGATTCCCAGTCAGGGGACATGCTCAGGTTGTGGCTCTATCCCCGGTGAGGGGCTTGTAGGAGGCAGCCAGTCCATGTTCTGCTCTCACATCAATACTTCTCTCTCTCTCTCAAAATCAATAAAAAAAAATATTTTTTTAGAAAAAGAAAGAAAAGAAAAAGCAAGCTAGCCGAGTCACGTCATGTGGATGGCAGAGCAGTCGAGTGGAGGTGCGTAAACTCCCGGGGCTGAGATGCCTGGAACCACCTTGACCCTGACGCCTCCCAGCTCTAGGCCCTGGCAGACCAGCCTCATGACAGCTCCTGATGCTGGGTTTTCCCAGAATCCCCTTCCCTCTCCACAGAGGTCCTCAGACTACACCTGCTTTCCCTGGACTAGCCTAAGTGGGTGCTTGTTTCTTAGAGAGCCAGACTAGCCCGAGAAACACAGCCCGAAGCCCTCATTTATACCAGGGAGCTGCCCTCCCCTGTACAGCCGGTTCTAGAAAGAGCTGGGGACTTACCGAAGTTGTTGTTCCCATTGTTCACCAGGGCAGGGTCTGCTTTCTGCTCCCAGTGCAACAGGTGTTATACCCAAGTGGACACTTCAGCTTTCACTTTCCTTTTTGCTCAGAAGGACTGAATTCTAAATGGTTTAAACATTAAAGGGATTCTCAGCATTTCTCAGGGACAGGCCCACGACTTCCCACCTCAAGGCCTGGAATGGCTTGGCCTGGGAGCCGCCTGGAAGCGGTGAGCGTCGGAGGGAAGCCTTACCCCTGCCCTGCCCTGGACACGGGCTCCCACTGCAGGACAGGGCATGGGAGGCCCAGCTGTCAGCCCCAGGCCCGCGTGGGCCCTCATCTTATACCCGCCCCACGAGGACAGGAGCCATGGGCAGCCTTCGGGGCGGGACCCACGGGAAGGCCTCAGCAGGCGGGAGCCTGGACCTCGGGGAGCCCAGGGCTCATTGGCCTTGGGGTGCATGTGGGCGGGAGAAGCAGAGCTCCCCTGAGAGCGGCTTCCCCAGCCTGGCCGGCCGCTGTCCCTGGAACAGGAGGCGGGAGGCAGGGCGCAGACTCAGTCCAGCAGCTCCCGGGCACCAGGGCCCAGGCTTTTCCATCCTGTTGGTCCCGCGTCTGGTGCGATGGTGGCTGTGGTGGCAGCGGCCTCCAGGGCACATTCTCACCTGGCCCCGCCCAAGGGCATCAGAGCTGCTTTCATTCCCTGGTCTCCTCTGAGCAGGGAGACCCTCTCCCACAGCCCCCTGCGGCCTGGCCCCGCCTTCCCTGTGCAGGGCTGCGCCCATTTCCATGGGAACCCGTCCTGGGCTATGGGCAGGGGCTTCCCCGGGGCTCAGCCCACTGGGGCCTCAGCCAGGTCTGCGGAGGGGCGGGTGCTGCCCAATGAAGGGCAGGGCTGTGCGCGCCTCAGAGGTGCATGTGCGGTGCGTGTGCGTGTGTGTCTGTGTGTGAGTGGGGGCGGGGGGAGTTTGTGCGCGTGTGCAGGTGGAGCGGGCAGGCGTGGTGGCTATTGGCCAGACAACCAGCACCTAAGCTGCGCTCACCCCTCCCTCCCCCTGTGCACGCGGCTTTGCTGGAGCCACAGGGAGGCTGCCCAGCTCTCAGGCATCAGGGAGAGCGGGAGGGGGAGCCGCACTGCAGGCGGGAGGGGGGCAGCCAGCGGGGGACCTGGCAGAGCCCTTCCCTCCACCAGGAAGCTCTGTGTGCAGGGGCGCGGGAAGGCACCACCTCTCCCAGCCTGACCCCCATGACCCCCATGACCCCCATGACCCCATGACCCCGCTCCTGCTTCCCTGGGCCACACAGGCTCCCAACTCTTGGGTCCAGCGGCCACTGGTCCTCTGGCCAGGAAGGCAGAAGGGCCTCGGGCAGGGTCTGCCTGTTTCCAAGTGAGTTTCGCTCAGAAAGGCTTCTAAGAGGCCCGGAGCGCCCACCTGCCCGCCTGCTGGTCATGCTCTTCCACGGGTGTCACCTGGGCCACTGCCCGCCTCCCTCCCCTCATGCCCTCCTGCTCGGGGTGAGGGCCTCCCTGTGCCAGCCCCGAGGCCGTGAGTGGGGCCCGAGAGTCCCACAGTTGGTGCCTGCTCCTCGCAGGCCCGGCTGCAGCTGCTGGGCCATGGACTCCCGCCTCTGAGGCCCCTGTACAGTGGGGCCCGAGCGCCCACGGGTGGTGCCTGCCCCTCGCAGGCCCGGCTGCAGCTGCTGGGCCATGTGCTCCTGCCTCTGAGGCCCGTGTCCAGGCTCCTCGCGCTCAGGTGAGTCTGCAGCCGAGGTCTTGCCTCTCCCGCAGCTGCCCCCCTGGTGGCCTGGCCTGTGAGTCTCAGCTGCTGCTGGGGTTCGGTGCCACCCCAGCCCCTCTGTTCTCGCTCCTCCTTCCTCCCAGGCATGTGTCTGCCTGATGCCGCACATTCCATTCTCAGGGTCAGACAGGGACAGCTCCCCGCCCCCATTAGCCCTGGTGTCCAGACTCACACAGGATCCCGGGAGGGGCCGGCCCAGCGCCTGGTATGCAGGGAAAGCAGCCAGCTGGTGGGGTTCTTACAGGAAGTGGGGCGATTCCGGGAAGGCCCCTGCACCCTCCAGAGCTCAGTCCACCCACTTCACTGCTCCTGGGAACCACTGCCTCCCCCAGACCGGGCCCCAGCTCACTGCCCTGCTCCTGGGACAGTGCCCAGGCCTCACCTGAATCAACATTTCCCCTTCAGAGTGAGAAATGCCCTTGCTCTCCCCCAGATGGACACCGACGCTGGGCCTGTCTGGCCTGAGCCCTGGCCCCCTGGCCCTGCAGCCCTCCTGCGCCCACAGGTCCTTCCCTCCTGTTCCAAACCAGGCCCCTCTCAGGACCCAGGAGATGCAGGGAGGTGGGGCCGAGCACACAGGATCCCCCTGATGGAGCTCCAAGCCCAGAGGGGGTGAGACAGGCACAGGGACCACAGCAGAGCATGATCACGTGGGGAGAGGTGGCGGTCCCGGGGGCTGGGGCCCTGAGCGTGGCAGCTGAGCCAGGCTGGGCCTTCAGGGCAGCTCCTCAGAGGAGGGGTCTGTCTGGGGGAAGGAGAGGAGGAGTGGGCGTTGCACGAAGCCACCCATTGTCTTCACTAGCAGAGAAGTGCAAACAAGGATCCCGGAATGCTGGTGAACCTTGAACCTATGGCAAGGGCCAGAGTTAAGCACCGATTGTCTAGTCCAGACAATGGGGGCTCAAGCTATTTCCTGATCGAATAGTCTCAGAGTAAATCCTTCTAATATTTACTGACCTTTAAGATAGTCTGTCTGTTACCACAATTACCTGCCTAAGAACTAGATGTGTATCCAAAGTTGAATAAAAGGTTGGCGAGGCCTGCGCACCAGTGGAAGTCCTCCCCCTTGAGTGGGGCTTGCCCACCTGGCCCCCCATTATTTCCAAATTGTCTCTTGTCTCTTCTCTTTCATTTGTGTGCGGCTCCTCTTCCAGATCCTGAACCCTGAACCACGTGGGACGTGGGGGAACACATACACAGGGCGTGAGGCAGGGGCTGGGGGCAGAGAGAAGCTGGGCACAGAGGAGCAGAGGCCAGAGGGAGCTGTGGGGAGGGAAAGGCAAGGCCTTCAGCCAGCCCGGGGGCCGAGGGCAGGGAGGGCGAGGAGGGTGGGAAGGGTCAGGAGCAGCTGTGGCTGCCCACGGGCATCCTGTGCCCTGAGGCCAGAGGAGGGTCATGGACAGATGGGACCACTAGTCCTCTGGCCAGGAAGGCAGAAGGGCCTCTGGGTAGCATCTCCCTGTTTCCAAGTGAGTTTCGCTCATAAAGGCGTCTAAAGGCCCTGAGCGCCCACCTGCCCACCTGCAGGTCATGCTCTTCCACGGGTGTCACCTGGGCCACTGCCTGCCCTCCCTGCCCCTCATGCCCTCCTGCTCGGGGTGAGGGCATTTGGGAAGGACACCGGGGGTCCTGGGGGACTGGATGTGGAGGTGAAGGGAGAGCAGGGAACCTTGTCAGGAAATTGTGGGGTCACACAATTTAGTACTGGGTGCCCTGAACCGAGTCATGGATGGGAGATGGACGAGGAAGTTAATTCAGGAGAAACGTCCAGGGTCAGCATGACCTGCCGGGTACCAGCATGGAATGGGGCAAAGGGCAGCGGAGCCCTGGCCTCAGATTGGGCCGCCTGGGGTGAGGGCTGCAGGAGGTTTCTCATTCGCTGAGGTCAGACACAGAGACACCGAAAAGCTGAAAAATTCTCTAATCATGAAGCAGAGGTGCCCTGGGCGGGACACTGAGGAGCAGGTAGGAGGTGGGCAAGGCAGGGAGGGAGGTAACAGGAGCAGGAACAGAGGAGGCAGAGAAGACCCATTGCAGCCACTGCCAGCAGGTGACCCTCTACCCTCTGGGGTTCTTTCTAGAGTGAAATAATGGGTAGGATTTTGGGGAACCCCAGTGAAGCCTGCATGGTAATTGTTATATTAATACTACAGCATTAATTCTCACAGTAATGCTGCAGCCTCAATTCTCATTGCGATGCTGCAGTATTGGTTCTCACAGTAATATTGCATATTGGTTCTCACAGTAATGTTAGAGGAGTGCACAGCATGTGAGGGCTCTTAGCTCACTAAGTCCTGACAGCAAGCAATGGGGCACACAGAGTTCAGGAAACTTCTCCAATGTATCTGACATGAGATGAGGAGTGAACCCAGATGTATCACATCCTTAAAGTGCCCCAAACTTTCACGGCTAGGGTTCAGGATCTGAAGAAGGTGCGATGCACAAATGAAAACACTAGACAAGAAATATGAATTTAGAAGGCATAGGTGGCCAGGTGAAAACCTCTTTCTAGAGGAGAAGCTCACTGAAACCCTGGCCTTGTTAGCTTTTAATACACATTTGCCCTTCAGAAATGCATACAGGCATATCAAAGGTAAAGTTTGGGAAACAGTAAAAGGATTATCATGTTAGGGCATTGCCTTCAGCCATTGAGCTCACAGCAGGGCAATATTATGCTGATTTTCAGCCCTGCTGAATATCAAAGTCCATTGGTCTTCCAATGGGTCTTTTTGCATTAATGCTAACTACTGCTGGTTTTAGCCTCTGGCATTGAAGAGCACCTTTCAGTCTGGAAGCACATTCCAAGGGATCCTCATCCTAGGACAGTGGCAGTGGGAACCCCATGCTCTGAAAGTCACAGACAGCCAGTCAAGTCTCACACTGCGGCTTCCAAGCTGGGAGACCTTCTTTAAGGCCCTTCACCAAAATGTATCTGGCCTTGTCCTGAGTGTAGAGGTGCTGGGCAGGCTTGTCCTCATGCCCTGCTCTTACTATTCCCCGTAGATCCCAAACCAGAGGTGCTGGCAGAGAGGCACAGAAAGTTGTATCAAAGCCATCTGTGCACAGAGAGGAGGGGCAGCTGGTCCAGCCTGGGGCAGTGAGGTGCCCAGAGGAGAGACTGTCTGCTGGGAGGAGAGTGTGTGTCACACGGGGAGGGCACGGAGGGTGTAGGAGGGAGAGCGAACATGGCGTCAAAGGAGCAGGAGAGAGAGCATGAGGTGGGGAAGCACAGGTAGCTCAGGAACAGCAGAACAGAGGGAAGAGAAGAGGGATGAGCGTGAAGAGGGATGAGGGTGAGAGGGATGAGGGTGAGAGGGATGAGGGTGAGAGGGATGAGGGTGAGAGGGACGAGGGTGAAGAACTGGACCATGAGCTGCCTAAAGGGTGTGGACAGCATTCTGAGGGTCTAGGTAAGTCATTGCCTGATTTTCCCTGTGAAGGTCCTACTGGTCAACACCAGTGGGTAAGATTGGGTGGAATTGGACTCGTGTTAGAGGGAGGGGGATGGAGGAAGGTGGCCTTGAAGGCACTTGGTAATTGGACATGGGGCTGAGGGAGAAGGAGGAGTGAGGGATGACTAGGCCTCTGATTAGCAAGCTGGGCTGAGTGACGCCAGAAGGAAGGGGACAGAACGAGCAGAGGGACAGAGAGCAGGTTTCATTCCATGAGGACTGGATGCCCTGTGGGGTGGACACTCATTCGCTGTTAAGGCGTGTGAACGTGGAGAAAAGCAGCCGCCATTGGGGGCGGGTGTGGGAGCGGGAAGGGCTGACTGCTGTCTGGCTGAGCCATCTGGGGTAAGTCCCTCAACCTCACCAGTCCCCGTGCCCACACCCGGGAGTGGGGACCCGTTGTGCCCTTTAGCTTGAGGTGCTGTTGGCTGAGTGGGTGCGTGTGATGGAAATGTCCCACTGGCAGCTGTGTGGTCGCCACCAGGGAGAGTGCCTGGCCCAGGTGCCCACTGTGTGGCCCTGAGGAGCCTTCAGTTTGTGTCTCCATGAAGGAGTGCCCAGAGTCTGAGGAGGAGGCTCCTCAGCACCGCTATGGACAACCTGCTCTCACTCCTGCGTCTGATAGACTCGTGGAGGTTGAGTAATGTGCGAAGAAACAAGTCATCTCTTCTGTCAAAGAATAGGTTAGGCCCGTGGTCAGCAAACTGTGGCTCGAGAGCCACATGCGGCTCTTTGGCCCCTTGAGTGTGGCTCTTCCACAAAATACACATGCGGGCGCACACGTACAGTGTGATTGAAACTTCATGGCCCATGTGCAGAAGTCGGTTTTTGGCCTGGGCGAGTCTATTTTGAAGAAGTACTGTTGATATTTAGCTCTGTTGACTAATGAGTTTGCTGACCACTGGAGGCAGCTCCCATTTTGGACCGAGTGACATGGTAGCCACCATTTTGGCCACATGGCTTGAAGCTCCCCTGGGGTCCACCATCTTGAAATGGCAAAGGCCAA